AATGTATACTTTAAAATATAATTTTGAACAAAATAATTCCATAAATAAAAATACGGAGAAACATCATTTTGCTTGAATTTGAGCCCCACAAAATCCCTTCTTCAGTATTCATTATTTGCCCCGACCAATTAATCACATATTCCCATCACAAATTTCCTAATTATTTGGTCCAAAAAATGTAAACAAGCATGACATCTGCATACCACTTTTCTGCCTTGATTTTGCAGGAAAAAAGTGCCTGTGGTACTCCAGTAAATAAGTTATGCATTGAATGTGTTTTCCTGCCAATAACCCCAAGCGGCAGCCAACCGGCTTCCAGCGCACAGGCCAACCACGTTCACTGGCACCATGTGGTGGATACACAAGTGGAATGAGGCACTAGGAACAAGCAAACCAAAGGGAAATGGAGCAATATTCAAAAAAACAGGGTGGAAGGGAGTGCGCTTGAGCATCTCCCCCGGTAGTTCCGCCTCTTCCTCTGCGCCCCGCAAGGAAAAAAGAGGGACCCATTTCCAAGATTACACAGAGCCCTGCGCCTGTGCTGCCTGAGAGGGAATGAAGTAGGAATAAGGAAACATACTGTATCACGCTCTTCTGCTTTGTTGTCAACGAAAATAGAAAAAAAAAAGTCTGTTCAACTAAATCCAGACGGACGCCTGTGTGCAAGGAGTGTGCGCGGTCAAGGTGGTGAACACTCCCATCAGCATCCCCAAAATCACTGTACATGATGTACCAGCTCTCTATTTGGAGTAATATTCAAAACTAAATAAACCGAACTCTGTTCCAGGAAACATGAATTGATGAGCACAACATGCTTTAGGCATCTGTTAATGCTGAGTTAGTACGCCATGACACCAGGAACTGATAATGGAAATTGAGGGACTGCATTTTCCGCGGGAGGGCTTCCCGCGCAGTGTTACATTGCGGGGTCAGCTGAAATAACACTCCACGTACCATCCTAACTCAACTCAAGAGGTCATCGGTCTGAACTCTGAAGTACAGGTTGCACTTGCCTCCTGAATACTGTATGAGGATTTAGGAATAATCATTTATCATATTCACTTGATCACCATGCAAACCTTTGTTTTTCAGAAATGAAGGGGAGGAAGCGGGTGTGTTTTCGTATAGGCAGGGCTCCGATTTGAAAAAGAAAATTGAGTTTAGGTGCACGACACACTTGAATGCACAGCAATGGACCTTTCTTGGCAGGAACTTCTTCTAAACCAAACCAATGAAAATTTATTGAATTAATTTTAAAATTTGAATTCCTTTTTTCCTACTTTTGAAATATTAAAGTTTTTAGGCACTAGAACTGGGGATTAGATTTCATCACCATTTTAGAGGGTGAAAATTGGAGTGTGTTTGGAGGGGGCGTGGTACTCGAGTTTGAATAAGCTGTACAGTAGTTACTGTCTGCACCACACATCCAGCAGTTCGTAGTTATTGTGCTTCTTGAGCTGTTGTTGGGGAAGTTGAACCTAATATTGTGAAGATGAGTCAAGAAATTCCGAGAACTCCGCCACACATAGTTGCAATGCGATCCGTATCTAAATTTCACCGAACTTTCAACATCATCCAGAGAAAGACTGAACGTTCCGGTTATTCGTGTGACCGTCACGAATTTTATGCAGCATTTCACTGATAAGATCTTCTTGTCGCGTATCCGCCCACAAAAGGACACATCCGCTTTATTTCGGATGACTCCGCAGATCTTTTGTCGTTGCGGTTTTGGATTACAATTCCAAATGAACTCAGCCTAAAGATTTTCAAAGTTGCTTTATTGTATCGCCAAGCTTCGCCATGGATGAGTTCCGAGTCTTCCGACTCCAGCTGGATGGAACACGTGAGCGGATTCGAGCTGAGGATCTCTGACGCTCAAAAAAATATGTATTTACAGTAGATTGAAGTTTGGTATGTTCCTTATCATTAATAATCAAACTTTTGAGAAGTCATCATTAGAACAGCATGTTTATATATTGTTGAGTAAGTTGAAGATCCTTTGACAATGTTTTTGTTTGTAGGTTGTGTTTGAAATTGTGTGTGATATGTACTTCCAGGTGTTACCTTGCAATTCAATCTCCCACAATTCAAAGGTCAAATTTGCTGGAAGGTTGACTTACAATTCAAACTCTGCCCTGAAATTATACCTGTATCAACCACTTTTATAATGCTTTTGAGCTTGCCTCATTTTACACAGTGTCCCGCAAATCAACCATTTTGCAATTTGACCCTGGTCCAGGGTGCAGCAATAGATAAGCATCAAATTGTGGGGTACCACATGTAGTTTAATCTAGATTATTGGCAGTTTCCCTAAGCAGAATAAATGTTCAAGGGGCTGTTGCACTTCAGTTAGTTTCTTTTATATTTTCTGGAGAAAAGTTCTTGGATTTTAGGCCAAGAATTTTTCTGAATAATTTTTGTTTTATTTTCACAGACACCTTCAAGGTTTTGGAAGTACAGTTCCTTCTTTAATTTAGTACTGTAACCCAGAAACCGAATTGCAATTATTTTCTTTTCTCCATATATGGAGAGAGATCCTTCTCTACCAGGTATCCGTTTCCTTGCAGCTGTTCCCCTTTTGTTTTGGTTCCCCCTCTCTCACGTCGGCCCGCATTAATGCGTGACGGTCGTTATTGCGCGTTTCTCCTTTTCAACTTGCTATTTGTCGACAGTGACAAACAAATTGCACTGCCTTCTTCTAAACTGCTAATTTAGAAGAAGCCTATTCCGCCAAACTCGCGAGTGTATATATGTTATTTATATTTATAATATATACCCGGAGATACCCGGATATTTGTATTCATCAAGAGTGTTCAGGGAACCCGCAGTTCCTCAATCTTGGCGAATATTTTGCCTCTATATTCTATGTTTCCAGGAAGGTATAAATACACCTTCCTTCCCACATATTTCCTCAGAATTAATCTAGAATCATTTGCGGTTATTTCTCAGAGAGACTTGCAGAAC